AGTTGAGAAAGAGGTCTCCTTTCTGCTAAACCTTTGGCCTATGAATGCATCCAGACCCAGTCTCTGGCCCAGAGGGTGAACAGCATAGCACAGTCTGGGCCCACACAACAAGTCCTCCTCTTGGTCCTCACAACAAGTTACCGCATCCATGCCACCACTTGGGAAGAGTCTGTGGTCTGTAAGAGTCCCTCAAATGATGTTCAGTCACTGTCTGGGAGAAAGTGGTCAGCCTAGGCCAAAACCGTCCCCAGAAAATGCAAGGAAGGAAACAGATGACTGCGTGAGAGTGCTCAAACCTGTGCCCCAGGCCTTTCAGTTTGCTATGATAAACATAGCCTTTGAAGCAGCATAATGAGACATATTTCAGCCCATCCCACATGTTATGTTCAGCGACTGTTCCAGAAAGGGCCTGATTCAAAGCACATCAAAATTGCTTGCAGTTTTCCCAGCGGTTTTAATGGGCTTTGAGCCCTAGTCTTCAACATTTGACAATAATCATGCACAGAAATCTAAATGAAAAAGTGTTCTCATAATTTTGAAATCCTCATCTGGATCTGTTTCTGATTTAAGAAAAAATTAGATTCATTCTTATTTTGCCCAAACGAGTGCATACGTCTCTAGTTTAAATAATAGAAAGCAGAAAAAGATTTTTGAGGCGATATTTCCACTGATGAGTTCCAAATTTTTTGGAGGGATAGCATGAAAGAATGGGGTGGGAGTTTTTTTAAGCTAAAATGACAGCTAAACTAGTTAGAATGTTTGTTGTGCTGATTGATTTCTTTTCAATCTAAACTTTCCGATATATGTACTTTCAGCTCGGGTGTAATATTTAAGGGTTTGTTATAAAACTCCTTTATTTGGAATTTATTACACAGCACAAACTCCAGCTGTGTAGCCTGAGTTGTTAGTATTTCTCTTTCTTATGCTAAACAATGAAGAGCCACTTCCCACAGAACTGTGACGTATAATATTTCTGCAGTTTTAATATAATTTTCTTTCGACCACAGACTTTGTGTGTCTTCTTGCTTTTCTGGGACAAAATTTTCAGAGGAACAAAACCCCTATAAAAGTAATTAATCATCTGGTTCTGATTACACAAATAGCCTGGTTCTGTGACCTTCAAGCCTCGCTCCCCCCACAAAGAAAGTAGTAAGAATGTAAAGTAGAAAGAGACAGATTTTTAAAGGTATGAGGCTGTGACTCCTGCTGATTGTTAAAACAATTTCATCCTCAACACTGCACAAAATATGTGCGGCCCCATACAGCATTGAGCCCTTTGTTTCATGCTGCATTTTGATTTCCTCTTACTGATACATGCATGTCCTTTATAATCTCTTTCTTAGTTATTTTAAAATGCAATTGAAGTAAACTTTCAAGTAAAGTTTGGTAATTCCCAATTATCAAATTAAAATTCCTAAATCAATGATCAAAGACTCTGTGAGAGTTGTACACCTTCCTTACGAAAACCAGTAGCAATGTGTTAAACAGCATTGCTTACATAATTGATTTTCATCCTTGACTAAAGCTTAAATAGGTTGCTGGGGTACATCACTAATGCACTAGTATGGTAGAGGTGGCTAACTTTCTGTGTTCAAAAGATTCTTATAGCAAAGTGCTACCGGAGAATTTTCTCCTCCAAGAGGAGGTAGAGGGCAAGTTTTGACAGTGATTTACTCACCAGTGATGACACTGATTCTCCTATACCCATGCAGATGTACCACCTTTTGTAGTGGGCAAGGTAAAGCTTTCAGCCAAGCTTCACAGAGAGGATTCAGATCATATAAAGGGAGCCTGCAGCCAGCACTAACCACTGCCTTGGCACAGGAGCCATACTTAACTGCTGATGAGCCAAATCTGCTTGCTTTCCAAGAGCAGTAATGGAATATGCTTCCCACACAAAATACAATCCTCAAATCCCAACACTCAACATTTTGCTTGAGAAGAGATATTCTTGAATAGTCCTGATCCATGGGTTCACTGACTAGACAGCCCTGGAAAAAATTTACTGTAGGAGCCAAGGGACTCGAATCAATAGTTGCTCAGGGAACATTTAGATTCTGTGAGTTTGTAACATCCAATGGAAGAATAAGGAATCCCCAACAGTGTTGTGTTACAATGAGATGTGAAAGGTTGTAATTATTTCCTTTGGAATTAGATAGTCACGTGTTTTGAAAAAATCCAATTTATGTGCCTATTTGCATTTTGGGGGAACCTAGTACTTTTGAAAAACCTGGTTCCTATAGAACCAAAACTAAGGTCTCACAGCAATTTTACATTTCCTGTCCCAAGGAATTTACAGTCAAAGTAGACCAAAGTAAGAATTTCCAGACTGGAAAAGCAGTTTAAACTTTTTAGACTAGTCTAAATTAGACTAGAATAAGAATTTCTGCCACCATTTTCTCAATAGGGAATCAAAATATAGGCAGTTTAAGTCATTTACTCAAAGATCACATGGGAATTCATTGACAGAAGCAAGAGACAAACTTAAGCTTTCTATATCTCAAATCAATGCCTTAACTACAAGAACATATTTCAAATCCCAGCAAAGTGCTATGAACAAAATGATCTTTCAGTGCAGTTCTACATATCCTCTCAATAACTGTTCAGTCTCCAGTAATCTCCAGGTTTTAATAATTCATTACCAGTTATGGTATAAAGCTGTCCCATTAAATCAGTCATAAACCCTATACTGCTTTACTTGTGCATGGTCCTAAACAGGGGTGTTTGTGCATGAAAGGCAGAGGATGCATGAAAGCAGGATGAGGCCAATAGTTTTGTTACTGTTTATTATGTAACACATTCCTCTTTGTCATCTTCTTTTTTTGCTTATATATTCCCTGACGGAATTTATGTAGAGCTAAAATGACCCTTTGGGAAAGCTTATTATAGAAAAAAAAAAGGAGGAAAAAAAAGAAAGAAAAAACCCACTTCTCTTCAAGTGCAGCATGCATCTTCCCTCCAGATGTCCATATCATTCCGCAGTTCTTCTGTAGACTCCTCTTTGGCAGTGTAGGCCTGTGTTTTCTCAGAAGTTTTAACATGGTTGAGTATTGGTGGCTGCCTTATTGTTTATACGATTAGTCACTCTTGGACTATTTTAAGAAGGTGATGTATCATTTTTGGAAATTTTAGATAAACTTCATTTATTTTCTGATGATTGATGCTGACTGGTTTTCTGGCTAATTGCATTTTCTAGTGTATTTTTTCCAGAATTCTAAAAGCATTCAGAATGAACAAAAGCTTTCCTTCCTTCTGTCTTTTTCTTTTGTATTCTTTTTCTCTCTCTGTCTCTCTCTTTTTTTTTTTTTTTTTTTTTAAAAAGGAGTGGAGCCGTTGTAACAGAACTAACAAAACTCTAGCTGAACTACAGCTTTATAATAAAGCTTGTGACAAGTTCTGGGACCTAAGCCAAAGTCAGA